AATGCCTAGAAAACTTAGGGTTTCTTCAGGTTTCTGGTCCAGTTGGCAGTAAGGCAGGCTGGTGGGGCAAAGTCAGCCAAGTTCCCCAGGCATACACGTGAAGGTGCTGAGAACTTCCCATAGCCCTTGAATTAGGTTTGTCACTAGGAACCTGTGCGCTTGAGTTGGGAATTTGGTATTTATTCAAATTCTGATCTAAAATTCCATGGAATGTGTTAGCTCCAAACAGTGTTAAGGTAGCTCTTATTTCACGATTTCACAGCAATGTTGAACATCAAGCTACAAAGGATTTCAAAGATGAAGACTGAGACTATAGTAGGCAATCTGGTAGACAAAGTGTATGTGGTAACATTAAGAATATCTAGGGTATGCTCAATTCTAAATAACAGGATTCATCAATGCTTCATTTACATATTCATATTTGTATTAAACTAATAGTCGTTTTTTACTGTGTCAGGTGTTACAACGAGCTCTATGCACAAACAGCAGATGTGATTTTTGACCTCTTGGAATCCGATTGAATTCATGGTTATGTAATATCCCTTAAGTCCTACAAAGCAAAAATAGAATGGGTAGTGATTTAATGTAGTTGGAAATGCTAACATAAGATTGGGGCGGGGGGTCAGGAAATTCTTCCTTGAGTAAGTGATATTTACAGTGATGTAAAATTTTGTGATACATTGCTAGTTGTTGGGAATATGAAGATAAACATGGCATAGTCCCTGTCCTTGAGGAGATCACATCTAGGGAAGAGATGTACAAACCACTAACAGTCCTCTGTGAGATGTGCTCTATTGAAGCATATTAATTACTGTGAATCCTGAAGGTTAGGGGTAATTTGGTCTGACCATCTCAGGAAAGCCTGTATGAGATGAGATGGCTTTAAGCGTGGGTTTTGAATCACAATCATTTTGAAGGCTAAGAAATATTACCAGGTAATCAAGACAGGAAATAATATAGCAAGTAATGGCTAGGAGTAAGAAAAAAATCCAGTGTGTTTGGCAAACTCTAAGTAGAAGGGAAGGCCTAAGAAGGCAATTGGCCAAGGGTGAGATTGTGTATAGGGTGGGATGGTAAAACTGAAGGCGTGTGAAATACTGTATTAAAGAGTTTACACTTCTCTTTTAGGAGTGGAAGAGCCATATTTTATTTTATTTATTTTTATTTATTTATTTATTTTTAAAGATTTTATTTATTTGAGAGAGAGAGAGAGCACATGAGGGGGGGAGGGTTAGAGGGAGAAGCAGACTCCCTGCTGAGCAAGGAGCCCGATGCGGGACTCGATCCAGGGACTCCAGGATCATGACCTGAGCCGAAGGCAGTTGCTTAACCAACTGAGCCACCCAGGCGCCCGCCATATTTTAATTAGGAGTTTGAAATGAATTTGTGTTTATAGACTGATCATTCTGAGTGCAAAAGGAAGGATGGATTTGGTTTATGGAGATGTGGGATTCAGAGAGCCTGATTAGAAGGCCATTGCAATAAGCCCTAAGAGAGGAGGGCAGAACTTCAGCTGTGGCGGAAGCCAGGGAGATTTAAGAGATTTAGGAGTGAAAATCAATGCTAATTGAAGACTGTCTAGGACAGCTGAAGAGGAGAGAGGATTCCAGAAGTTGAGATTTCTGCCTTCTCGGTAATTTACAGTATGCACAGAGCCATTGCCAGCTAGCAGAAAAGCTTAAGATTTGGGGTTTGAATCCTGGCTCCTACCACTTACCAAGTAACCACTTGGAAGAAGTGACTTAAACTTGCCTAGCCTCAGTTTTCTATGTCTATACAAAAAGGGCTGAAAATAATTTTGTGGGATTTATGGGAAGATAATCGTGAAAATGCTTAGTGAGTTGCCTTGTCCATAGTCTGCATTCAACATGTATTTTCTTCAGTTTTAGGCATGCTGAGTTTAAAGCTGTTATTTTATGTCTAGATGGATATATCCAGTATGTATTGAGAAACAGAGGTTGAGGCCTTGGGAAGGGGGTGCAAATAAAAGCCTAAGAATTTGGAGATGTAATTATTAGATGATAGTTGAAATCATTTGACTGTATGAGATACCATAGGTATAAGAAAAAAGATTTCAAGTAGATTCTCTGGTGCTCCTAATCTAAATAAGTAGGCAAAGGAGGAAGAAGACCCTCCCCAGAGTAACTAAAACATGGTTTAAAAAATAAGATCAAAACCTTGGAAATAGGAACAAACATAAGAACAAAACCTGCCTCGTGTAAGAGGTGTGCTTTAAGAAAGAAACCATTAGCACTCTGACAAGTCTTAGAACTGACAAGTAACTTGAGGAATAAAGAGAACTCTTTGAATATAACAATTAAGAGATCACTGACAACCTTAGAACAGTTTCCATATGGTGGTGAGGAGCAGAATGTGGTGATTTGAGGAAAGATTAGAAATGAAGAAATTAAAAGATATAGAATGTTCTTTTAAGAAATTTGGCACGGCAGAAATGGCTAAAGGTTAAAGAAAAGAGGCCTTAATTTATATTAATAGACACTGAGAGAAAAGATCTAGTATTGAAGCAGAGGGAGATAGGTGATGGGAGATAAATAATGAAGGAATATTCTAGAAGAAGCTGCAGCTCAGGAAATATAAATATAAATCATTTTGTGAAATATAAATCACAAAAGAATGCACTTGCCTGAGATGGTAGAAGATACAACCTCCCTTTGAGACAGAATGCGAAGGAGTAAAGTTGGAAAGACTATTAATAATTGGAAATTAAGAAGCTTCCAGTATCTACCCAGCTATTGTTTTATCCCATTATTTAGCTTTTATTTTTTGTATTCTAATAACATGTTTTGAGTACCTTAACTGGATTGGCTAGTACCTTTTAATGTTATCTCCACATAAAATGAATTATTAAATTTTCATTTAGTAAAAGCCAAGTGAAACCTCACCTCTGTCCTTTTTTTTCCCCCTGAAAAGAGACCAAAAAAAAAAAAAAAGCTTGGAAAATACTGATTCTTAATAAAGTAGCCCCAAGAATGATAGGCTTGCAAAAAATTACACTCTCTGTGCCAGAGTCTCAGACCATCAGAGAAATATGTTATTCTTTTCTTTTTTTTTTTTAAAGATTTTGTTTATTTATTTGGCAGAGAGATACAGAGAGAGAACAAGTAGGCAGAGAGGCAGGGAGAGGGAGAAGCAGGCTCCCCGCTGAGCAGGGAGCCCGATGCGGGGCTCGATCCCAGGACCCTAGGATTATGACCTGAGCTGAAGGCAGCTGCTTAACCAACTGAGCCACCCAGGTGCCCCGAAATATGTTATTCTAATGATTTATATACCCTACAGAAATATTAGAGCTAAACTTTATGCAGTGTTGACATCAGGACATTGGAGTATATTTTAGCTCTTAAAATATGATTATTCCAGTAATAAAATGATTTGTATTGTTTCGCTATTGCTATAAATGAATTTTTGGTTGGGTGCTTGTTGGAAAACGGTTTTACATATCCTTTTTACAAATGTTAACTGTTAGCTCAAGCTTAAATTAGGATTGTAAGCAATTAATTTTGTATCACGTTTACATTTGAAAACAGAAGTACCACAAGACCTTTCCTAGTAGATGAACCCATAGTTTAATTAGATCATCTTCATTTTATTGTATTACAAACACATAAAAACATAACATAACCAGACCCTCCTCATAGTGGCGATTCTGGAAATGATAAAGACAAGGCTCTGGATTTATATTATAAAGTAATTACAGTAAATTTTTCAGGTGGAGGGATCATACACTTGAAAAACAGTAGTTCTAAAACTGATGGGAATTCAACACAAGGTCAACATCTCAAAGTCTCTCAAAGGAGTAAGACTATATAGAACAGTTATGTTTAAATTTTACCATCATGAGGGAATTTGTAGTACTCTATCCTTGGTCTTCATCACTTCTTCTCTACCTTCTACCTGGATGATCTCATTTTTTCAGGGTCACGACTTGCTTTGTTCAAGTGCTTTGAAATACATTTCATTAGCTTTGATCTTCTTGCTATATTCTTAAATGTAAATCCAAACTGTCAGTGAATATCTGTTTTTGATAGTGCAACAAAATCAATACTAAGTATTTTCAAAACTGAACTTGGGCCTTTTCCATCAAACTTACTTGTTCTCCTGTATTTCCTGCTTTAGTAAAGGATACAACAAGTACCAGACACTTAATCTGGGAAGAGATCACAGTTTCACATTCCAGGTCGTTATCAAAATCAACATGTTGTATTTCATTCTAGGCTTTTCCTTAAGCATGGCTGTTTTTTCAGTAGTGCCCATACCATTTAAATTTCTTTAAAGAATATTGGTAATTGTGGGTTACTTTTTCTTCCTATTTCAATACTGGTAATTTGTACTTGTATTAAAAGTATCCAGTTTATCCAAGTATTAAGATTATTGTGAGAATTCAGTTAGATATAGATATAAAGCACTTCATAGGCTGCCATCCATATAAGAAGAATTCAACAGAAACAACTCAAATAAATAGAAATTAATATCCAATTCAGTCATGGAACATAGATTTAGAGGGAAATGGGGCAGTTCTCTACTACTCAGAATGAATATTTTGGATGTGTGTGTGAGATATCATGATGAAGATTAAATGTTATGTATTATCAAAGAAATTGTCTACATTGAACCAAATATAAATACGGAAACAGTAACAAAATAAAAAGATAGAAATAAAGACCCTTAGAAATTGAAATATTCTAATTACAGCCATTGATGAGAGTTACCATCCATGCATTTTTTATTATCATGCTGTGTATTATCTTTATGTACATTGCAACATACCAGCATTCCATTCTGTACAACTCCGGGTATATCATTTGCCCTTTCAGTGCTTCCATTGCCCCAGGATAGCATAAGGATGTTTATTAGAGAAACTCTATTTCAGTTTTAAAATACTATGACTTTATGACCACAAAACAGCTTAATTCTGAGTTTTCCGTTCTGGGTCAACACTTAAGAGAATTGTGAAAGACCTCCTGTCTGTGTCCATGTATTTATTATCTGATTCCAAAATCATCCTTCTCATCTGTCATCCTCATTAATTCTTCAAGTTTCTTCTCCAAATATTTCTTTAATGAACTCCGTATTGCCTTCATTTGCCTCCGATGAGACACACAAATATGGAATCTAGAGCAGAGAAACAACATAATCCCGACTTCAGTATTAGTAGGCCAACTCTTAAAGACAATTACATAATCATGTTTTCTTTCCCTTCTTTTTCTGGATACTGCTCCAGGAGTTGTCCTCATACTTAATTGTACCTCCTCCATTTCCTGTGGTTCAACTTTTATCCCATAAACTTCTGACCATTTCATTCCTGTCAGTATTGTATCCCAAACTTTGAAATGGCTTCTTTCCCCCTATTGCCATTGGAGGGGCGGGGGGAGGTTGGGCAGTCTCCTTGCCAAAGGAATGCTTGACCCAGTGTGTGTGTGGAGGGAGGAAAACTCACAGTAACAAAGCACTTCCCAATATCACAACTTCTGTTAGCAATATCAGAAATAGTGCAATCTCTCGACTCTCAGCCTTCTTTGGATTCTCTTCTGGAGGGAGAAAGAGGAAAATAGAAAATGAGTTTGGGAGAGGAAAAATACTAACTTGAGAACTTGATCCATAATAGATGCCTCTCTTTAACATCAGATAATTTGCTCTGTTCACCACTTCCATCACTGTTTTCTAGTTATTCTGATCTTCATTACTCTTAGATCCTTAGGCTCTACAAAATGTTTGCCCTACTGCCCCTGGCCTAATTTCTCCACCTTTAGTCCGGTCTTTCCATTTCTCAGCCCTTCAGTTGATCCAGTGCTCAGTAATTCATCCTGGTAGAAATTTTGCCCAATAATTTAGCTCTGATTTGTGACATTAGCATGATCTGCATAAAAGGTGCTCACCAAATATTTGTAGAATAAATGAATGGACAACTCAGTACCTTGATCCCTGGCCCCTCCAAAGGCCATACTACAATCTTTGTTACCTCCACAATACTCTCCTCTGAAGCATCGGGAGGTGATGCGAAGACAGGTCCAACAATCCAGGATAGGGCCTTCAGTCACGACTGATAAAGAGAAGAAAAATAACGGAAGGGGGCCATGGTGTGGAGTTTTCTTAGCTCAGACATCAAGTATGGATTAGATCTTGGGCATTTCCTGGACTCTTAGTGTTACATTGCTGTGAATTTCTTCTTCCCCTAGCAATCAAATTTCTTGATGGGTCAACACCTTCTGTAACTTAAGTCAGATCTCTGGGGAAGAAGTGGGAAAAATGATACCTCAGTGTATATTGGTCCTATGGGTTCTAAGCTATACTTTAGAAGGCCTCTAAGCACCTCTAAATTCTTTGTGTTTGAGATTTCATGAGATACATTTTGTTGTCAGGTCTGATTGACATTCCCACCCCCATAATCCCAACTCTAGGAACTGGGTTCTCAGTGTGACAGGTGGGAGAGATATGGCCATATAGAGCAAATGAGATGGGAAAATATGGAGGGAATTCTTTTTTTTTTTTTTTAAGATTTTATTTATTTGAGAGAGAGAATGAGAGAGAGAGAGAGTGAGCATGAGATGGGGGGAGGGTCAGAGGGAGAAGCAGACTCCCCGCTGAGCAGGGAGTCCAATGCGGGACTCGATCCCGGAACTCCAGGATCATGACCTGAGCCGAAGGCAGTCGCTTAACCAACTGAGCCACCCAAGCGCCCCAATATGGAGGGAATTCTTAAGGTGTCCCTGGTACTGTACTCACCGCAATCTTCAGAACAAGCTAAAAGAGAATCAGAAAGTTCTAATGAGCCTATAATCAACTTAGAGTTCGCCATATTTATACCCAGTAGTCTGCATTTGGCTAGCCATGACGTTCCAGCCGCCCCTCCATCCATTCTAAATAACTGTAATATGAAACCACCTTCCTCCTCTCACCCTCATTTCCTATTCCTTTCACATGATTTCAGTGTTGTTAGATAGACATCTTTTATTACCAACTTCAGAGAAGTTCTTTAATATCTCTTTCAATTTGGATCCCAGGTTTTGGCGGACATCGAGAAGCTTGCCTTGAAGGATAAAGGCACCTAAGAGGGGGTGGAATGGACATCAGAAACTAGGGGTAGCCTTTCCCTTCAGAATTTAATCCTAATTGTTTTGCCTTGTTTTTCCAAGGGAACTTTCCTTATACTTGCTTGGGCAATACAGTCTTTTATCACTGAAATGGTATCTCACCTTTCCATGTTTCATTGCCCAGTTTATAAAGCTCATTCTTCAGCCATATTCTTAACTTGATAACCTTATGAACAGCTAGAGAGGAGTAAAAGGTACATGTAGGGGAATAATTACATCTATGGAGGAAATTATGTGGACCCAGGTGCACTCTTCCCTGCCTCCCCTTCTCCCTTTAACCCACAAAACTCTCAGGGACTCAAACTTCCCTCACCCAACACCCGAAGCATCTTGTCCCTGTGGGAGACCTTGAAGCTTAAATGGGTCATCTCCTTAATCTGCCGTTCAAGCAGATGAACTCGGCCGGGGACTTCTGAGGGTACCATCTTTGCCAGCAAAGACCTAATATCTTCTGTGAATTTGGAGTCACATTCCAAGCAGCCTTTGACCCCATGGAAGGCTGCCAGGGACAGGGGCAGGAGCAGGAGCAACCACAGGTCTCCCATTTCCTTGCCCCAACAGCCGGTTGTCCCGGCAACTAGTTCACCTAGTTCCCTTTTCTTCAAAAATCCAGGAATAAGAGGTTTGTCCTGGATAGGCTGACTTCACCTTCCCCTCCATTTCCATCCCACTTCTAGGCAATTTCGTTTCCCTAAGGATCTTCAGTTGTTTTCTGACTTTTATCCTTCATTCCAGAGAGAGGGAACTGCCAGTTGGGAACCAGATACCTGAGTTCTGAGTGTAGAACACAGAGAGAGAGAAATCTTGAGCTCACACAAGCAAAATTCCATGCAGAGACATACCTCAGAAAAAGGTTTTCTTCAGGTTTCTCCTTTACTTTGCCTTCAGTAAATTCTCACATCCTTCCTGACCATAGTAGTGTCTCAAGAAAGAGATCGCATAGGACCTTAGAGACTGCTTAACCAAAATTCTACTGCTATAGAGGAGGTGAGGAAAATCTGGACTATTTAGGTGCTTGGGGTCCCAGTCCCTGATGGTAGCGGTATTGTTGAAAATTAGTCATGGGTGTCTAGATGTAATTGATATCATTGATGATAATTTTGATGTAATTGATCACTTCTCAGAAATTTAGGCTATCTTTGTCTGTAGGATGATTTCCCAGCCATGCTATATAACCTTCTTATATCATTCTTCTTATAAAGAGTCTGAAGCAAGGACACCAGAAACAACCATTGAGGAATATATGGTGATAAGTGAGACTCCAGTAACACCCAGGGTTCATTAGCGGGTGCATTTTACAAGTACTAAGAATGAGATGTGAGGCATGTTAGGAAACAAGCACAGGTACCATGGGCTGCTGTCTCAGGCCACTGTGGAAGGAGCCCAGATGCACGGTTCAGCTTAGGGCTCTTTGAATAAGAATGTTCTTTGTCATTTGAAGAAATTAAGGTTGCTTTACAGACTTTGCAGGATACCAGTAACAACTTCTCTGTTATATTGCTTGTATGTCTGTGACCTCCTGGAAACCAGGGAACCCTGGGATCTTAAAAGGTTAGTGGTAGAAATGAGAGCCTAAGGTATGGGAAATTTAGGGAGTGAAAAGTTGTGACGGAAGTACAAAGAACTACTACTAATTATATGCCTACCATGTGCCAGACATGGGATGTACTAAACACTTGTGATTATTGCAAGTCCTGATGGCACAGCAATACTTTGAGAAATTATCCCAATTTTATAGTTAGGACTCTGAGGCTCAGAAATGTATCCTATCTACAAAATAATTTAGTAGTCATGGAATTAGGATTTGAACTCACGTCTGTCTGATTCCAAATTCTATATACTTTATTCACTGCCTGTCAACATTTTCTGGGATAATGCAGAAAATGATTTCTTGGAATTTGATAAATCAGATGATTGCAAGGGGAGGAAGCAGTTCAAATCCTCTGATGATCCACATCCACACCTCTACTCTGATTTTATTTTCCCTTAGCTAGATGATCTCATCTTTAGATGATCCTCCTAAGGATTTGCACATGCTGAGGTCTGAAGCAGTTTTGAGGTAATGGGATTAAACTAACTCTGGAAACCAAAGTTGGAGACTAAAAGGGGCTAAGACTTGGCAGGCAGGTAACCAGGTATGAGGAAAAACTGTTCTTTAAGGGAAAATATACATTATAGATGAGATGTTTTCCAGTTAACAGTACATACTTTCAGCTTGGACACTTAAAGAGAACGTGACGGTATAATATTACTAATTCTGTTCAGTGGCACATTATCTTGATCCAGACAATGTGCTCTACTATTTTTATCCTTGCCTCATTCTTCCCACTTAATTTTCAGTCCAGGATTTTTAGGATGCGAGAAAAAATGATTCGACTTTCGGACAGTCTTGGGAAGACTGAAAATAGCAAGCCACTTTCTAAAAAGACAGAACTTGTAATTGAAGGGGACATATAAGAAGGAAAATAATGGAGGAAATAGCACCTTCATCGAGGAAACAGTAAACGGATAATAATAGCATGAGCTGATGTTAAAGGCAGAGGTACGCACAGTTTGTACCTTCTATAGGAAGACCAAGAAGCACTAAATCTGGAGGAATTTCTTCTAGAGAAGCTGGATCTAGGACACTAGAAACTGCAGTTAACAAATACATGGTGGGAAGTGAGAAACCCAGCAATATTCAAGATGCTTTAGGAGAAGCATCCTGAAAGTACTGATAATGGAATGGATGACATATAAGAAAATAACTACAATTATCCTGGGCTAGTTCTTTAAATTCAGTAGATATCAACTATTTGAAATTTGGAAAAGAAGAGCCATCTGGAAATTGACTGATAATATAATGATCACATTACTTAATTAAAATAACGATACTTGTATCTAGGAGGCAAAAGGCTAATACTCAGATCCTTCACTGATTATGCTAATATTTGGTTTGGATTGGCATGGAGGGGATATGATTTATAGTCAGTGAGAAATTGTGGAATAGCTCACCAAACTCTTTATTTGCTTAAAAGAGTATAACAGGTATATAGTAGCACACACATGCATAATATTTTACCAAATATATATTTATTCATTTGTCATTCTTAGATAAGATTCCTGGGTTATTCACAGATAGAATATGTGTTGTATATGTTCTTTTTCTACAAAACAATTAGTCCTAATATCTGGTCCCTCTTAAGGGCTAGAATCAGTTGTTTTGTACCATTTGGCCTTTGTTACAAATCAGATGATACACTGAGGTTTAAAAATCTAAAAAACAAGTCTCATAAAGAAGAGCAAGAAGCTTCTTAATAATTTTCCCTCAATCCATAGCAAATCTGATTCCCAGATCCATACAAAAAGATAAAAATAATGAATCTTTGTGGCTTAAGCTTCTTGTAACCTCTTTTCTTGTGGATTACTTTTCCCAGCCGAGCCCTGCTGCATGGTTTCCCCATCAGTAGCACTTCAATGGATGCCCTAGAAGTTCGGCAAATAATCCAGATACCCCTCGTAGTCAAGTGAGATTAAATTATTTCCTGACTATAATCTGGGACTAGGAAACCTGTACTTGGTATCTGGTCATGTTATTAAGCTATCCATCTAGGCAGCATAATAATCACAATTTAAATGTTGAAATAATTGCTATAGTCCAGATCTTTCACATGTAAAGTGATTTTAATATTTTCCGTATGCCTGTCCATTTATATCCCATTGTCCTTAAGCCAGTTTTTCTCCCCATAGTCCAGTCATTCTTGAGAAGTCATAAGGTTGGAGCTTGGAAGACTTAGAAGGAATCACTCTCTCTCTGGTAGGAAAGCAAATGAAAAGAAAAGCTGATCCTATCAGTAGGGATGGGAAGAACAGGGGAGACATGGCCAAAGATGTATGTCATAACCTCTTCTCTCTAGACTAGGGTCCCAGAAGGGGAGATTGTATTAGTTAGGTTAAAGGGAATACTACAGGAAAGAGTAGCTTCTGTCCTGCCTCCTTGAGGAACCGCCAAGGCTACACCAGTTACGCACATGTGACAACTGTACCTGAGGAAAAATAGTAGACCTGGCTAATAGAAGGCACTCCAGAGACCATGCTGGTACCCTGTGTTGTGGAAGCACCACTCTGCTTCCACCAGCTGCCGGCTAGGCAAGGATGTGCGAATGAGCTCAGGATCTGACTGGGAAACGTGCCAGTGTGTGTATCATCAAGGCTTCCAGTAGTGGGAGCCTGTCTGAAAGATGGATAGCAAACCACTAGGTCAGGAAAGGAAAAGGCATCTGCAGCAAGCCCCAAGAACTTGATGGGGCCAAATTGTCAGGAAAGACTGCTAGACCCCAAGGAAATAGAGAACAGGCCCAAAGTGCTCTGCATGCAGTTTCCCAGAAAATAGAAGATTCAGAGATGGGGCGGTACCAAACTCGCCTTAGAAGATACCAACACATTAGCAAAGAATAAAACAAATACACTCAACTTTATTTATTTTTTTAAACATTTTTTTAAATGTTTTATTTATTTATTCATGAGAGCCAGAGAGAGAGAGAGAGAGAGGCAGAGGGAGAGGGAGAAGCAGGCTCCCCGCCTAGCAGGGAGCCCGATGTGGGACTCGATCCCAGGATCCTGGGATCATGACCTGAGCCGAAGGCAGACGCTTAACCATCTGAGCCACCCAGGCGCCCCAAATATACTCAACTTTAAAAAAAAAGTCATTCAAGGGAACAATATTATTAGTGAAGAAATCCACTGGATAATTTACTGAAGAGGAAAAGGCAGGGGTTTTAAATAGGAAAAGTTCAAGGTGATTGTACTTACTACCATTTTAGCATACTTGATAAGATGGACTGAAATCATAGTTGGACTGGTAGTTAACACCAACCTGATTTTTCAGTGATTATGACAGTGTTTTCTTAGGCCCAAGGGAGGTCTAGCATCCCAGAGTTACTCAATGTTCGTGGTTCCTTATCAGTTTTAGGGGGTTAGAGCCAGCTGGAGTAAAACATAACAGTTGTCCTATCTCCTGGGGAAGCGCTGCTGTCAGGGGAAAATTTCCTCTATATATCCAAGTGTCCCTTCAACTGTGGGGGTATCCATGAATTGACATAACCCTCCTCCCCATCTTTCCATTCCTATATTCCGTTTTGGAAGGAATCAGGGAATGGGAAGGAAATACAAAAGAATGATTTTTCCAAAAGGTATTTAGTTACCAAAAAAAAAAAAAGTGTTTAAATATTGGGTGGGATTGAATTTATCGTATTCTGCTGTTACTGCTTTTTTTCTTTGCTCTCTTGTGAGGTGAGAAGTGAGGGAGCTCAGAGAAAGCACAGACCAGTTCCAGAACACGATGAAGCTATATCTCCTTTGTATATCTGAGAAGAGTGTAAATAAATGTGTGGCCTTGCAACATAAACACCATAATACTTAATTCTCAAGACAAGCTTGCATTACTATTTCCACTTTGCAGAATATGAGCCTGATGTTCAGAGACACTAAGGGAAGTGGCAAAGTTCACCCACCCAGAAAGGGAAAGATTGGCAGTAACACAAGTTTGTCTGCTTTCATAGTCCTATGTTTCCAAAATACCAAAACGTTTCTTGAATAGACTTAATCCAAGGTACAGTCATCGTTCCCTCAAATTAGTAAGAATTTCCTAAAGGAAATTATTTTTGCAAGAAAGGAAAAAGGGTTTCTTATTTCCCATTAGTTTATTTTTTAAAATAAGTGGAGTTTATAATCCTCAGTAACTTTTCATATTTCTTCACACCCAATTCTTTTTTTCCCTC